GTAGTCGTAGTCGTAGTCGTAGTCGTAGTCGTAGTCGTAGTCGTAGTAGTAGTGGTCGTCGTAGTCGTAGTAGTCGTAGTAGTAGTAGTGGCAGTAGTAGCAGTAGTAGCAGCAGCAGTAGTAGCAGTAGTAGTAAGAGTAAGGACAGAGATGATAGGTTGATAGATGATGACAACATCTTGCGATCAGACTGCGGGGCCCCTGCCTCCAGTTGCGAGAGCAGCTGCGGCACCAAAGCCCCTGCCTCTCATTCTGACGAACAGAACTGGCTCAACCCACCATGACCAGGTTTCGGTATTTTGGGACTGGATTTTCGCAGGGTTTCTGTGTTGTTCCGTAATTACGCGATGTAGGGCTATGCCTATGCGGGATACGGCTTTACGGTTTAGGGCCTTGGGGCCCATGCTTGTGAGACTTACTGTACAGGGTTTTGACCTACGGCATCGATGCCAACGCAATTCTGAACGTCAGCGCTTCAGACAAGTTCGTGGGGAAGTCCAACCAGGTTACCATCACCACCGAGTCTTGGGCGGCACTTGCAAGCGCAGATTTCGTGATGTTGGATTGCATCCAGCCTGCGTTCCGCAGCAAGTCTCGCAAAATGTGCACCTTGTGACGAAACGAGCGCAACACATTGCACCATCCGCGTCGCAAATCTCAGGCACGCACGTGCTCCCACCGACGGAAATCTGCGCGCTCAGAGAATCCTGCATCAGCCTGCCAGTGCGCAGCTTGGCCCATGTGCCCGCCCGGACTCGACACTGCTATGCCATGTGCCGGGTCTGAGCCGGCCACGATCAGATCAATCCAACTACGCCTCTGCCTCCCCACAAATGCCCAAAACGCGCCTGAGGATTCCCAAGGACTCTGCGACATGGTCGGCTGCACCGCTGTCCTGTCCTGCAGCCTTGCCAATCGGAGTCTCGAAGGGGTTTGTAGATGCTTCCAATCTTCGGACGAAGATCCCAAATCCCTGCAGTCTGCTTGAATCGGCATGCCGCATGGGGCCTGTGTTGCAGCGGTTGCGAGAGCATCCACAGCTGCAGACACTGTCTGCACCTGGCTTGATGCATACGCCACGACTTGTATGGGCCTAAGTACCAGTCTGTTCTGCGGCTTCCCCGAACTAGCCGGCCCCTCCTCCTGACTAGCGGTGGCAATGCCAATGAAGGATGCCTGGCACCAGGCGTCTCAGAAATCTCAACGTTCCTGCACTCAACACTTTTCGGCTGTTTCTGAAGCCGGGGGGCCATAAAGATTTCAACAGGGCTTCGAAGGATGTTAACCTAGGCTGACACAGGGATATTATGTCCAGATTACTAGCTGCTCAGACCTCTGCACGTACATTCAGCCGTATATAGACATCATACTAAATGTTGAGTTCCGCTCTGTATACGTATGTTGGCAAAAATGTCAGATGACAAAACTCTTGAACTGGACTCATGTTCGGAGCGCCCGTATGAAATAAGATTACTGAATATGGAGGGCCCGTTAAGCCCAGCATACGCAACAAATTGTAAAACCCCCCAACACGGCTGCCCTCACAAACCCATTGAAAAACTAGCAAACTCAGACCTCTGTAGTAGGTGTCGGCTTCTGTCCCTAAAAGCTAGATAGTACACTTGAATCGCCTGAATCCCCAAGCCGGAAACCCAAAACCCTGCAAACCCAAATCAAAACCCAGAAAACCCTGACACCCCGCAACCTTCAAGCCCTAAACCCTACAACCCTAGTCCCAAACCCCGTTTCCTTAAACCCCCGGAACCCCCAAGCCCTAAACCCTACAACTCTCATCAAAAACCCTGAAACCCCCAACCCTCGAAACCTAAAACTCCAAAAACCTACAACCTTAATCTAAACCTCCAAAACCCTGAAACCCTCAACCCTGGAACCCTAACCCTAAAACCTGCCACCCTAGCCTCCTCCAAAACCCTGAAACCCTGAACCCCGGAAACCCTAAAACCCCAAACCCTAAAACCCAGGAACCCTAAAACCCCAAAAACCTACAACCTTAATCTAAACCTCCAAAACCCTGAAACCCTCAACCCTGGAACCCTAAAACCCCAAACCCAAAAAAGCAGGAACCCTAAAGCCCTAAAACCTGCAACCCTAACCTAAACCTCCAAAACCCTCAACCCCAGAAACCCTAAAACCTCCACTGAAACCCTAAAAACCCTGCGACCCTGGGGGCCCCTGCGCCCTGCAGCAGTCGTGAGGAGTTCGATCCCGGATCCGGGTCCGCGCCCCCCGAGGATCCTCTCTGAGTGTGTGTTGGGTAAGGGCTTGGGGTGTTTGGGAAGCTTTAGGGGAGAGGCGGGTTTAAAGTTTAGGGTTTAGGGTTTAGGGTTAAAGTTTAGGGTTTTAGGACGTGTCGGGGCTTTCGGCTTTTCGGTGTTCGAGCTCCAGAAGGCCTGCAGGAACGGATGCCGCACTGCCGATGGCGGTGACGTCTCCCCTCGGGCACCGGGGCTGATTCTTCATGAGCCCTACAGATCCAAGGCTCAATCGAGGTCGCCACAGCGCCGACCGAAGGAACTCCCTGCCGATATGCATGTGATAAATAGCGTACTAAATAGTGTACGTACCCTGAGTGGTTAGCACTGCAAGTGTCAAAGCGTTGGGCAACTGTGCTGATTGATTAGTGGTCAGCTTTGCTGCGGCTGCGAGGCCCAGTGGAATTTCGATGATGCTTGATATCTGATATCAAACCGACTCACATTACTGCCTACAGATCTCGTCCATCAGCTCGATTTAAGTACTAGGTACTATACAAGTATTACTAGTAGGCCGTCGAGGCCTCGATGCGCAGTCTGCGCTGTTCGCCACCGCCGTGCCGGCTTTCACATCTCCCATAATGCCTCACAGCTGTCAGACAGAAAACGAGCTTGCTTTTGGCCGCATGCCCTGCCTGCCATGGGAAGTGCTGCCATACCACCCAGACCAGCCAAGGACAGCAAAAGGATCACAATCTTCTTGACGTTCCCTGTCACTGCCGGCAAGAAATCGTTGCAAGTGCAGGTCTCATCTTGGGACCAGTGGGCCTATTTTCCTGACTTCCTTTCCCTCGCGGCAGCACCTCCAACTCACGTTGCGTTGGCCGTTGACACGCTGAAGTAGCGAAGTTCAGGCGCGGACGAGCAACAGCATTTGCGGCAACATCGGCAGCATACCTCTCTGCAGCCCTCATGGCTGTGTGAGTCGCCAGCATCGTATCTCCACATGAAACGTGGGAGAGCACCTTGCAAGCAGCAATCGGCCAGCACAGCAGCACGATGCCGATGATCGCCTGAAGTCTGAGAGTGCAACACACGAGCAGAAATCCCCCGTCCGCACGTCTACAGGGCTGAGCTCTAGGCCACGGTGCCAGGGCCCATCCCACTCAAAGAGCCCAGAAGCGCGCCGTAGATCAGGAAGGCCACATAGGACTCAGGCGCTTAGAGACTTTAGAACTTTAGAAGAGGTTCTGGGAGGCCAAGGCTTTCAAATCTTTCAAGGCTCCCGGCACATTCGCCGATGGTCAAGAACTCCAGCAAGCCGGTGTCTTTTCCCGCGTTGCTGCCACGGTCCGCCCGCTCGACCGCAGTGATTTCGCACGTGTCTGTTTCGGACATCGCCTCCAGCAAACTGCTCGCCGGGCAGCCACCGGCAAGCCTCCTCCCTTGCCTGGAAGTCGCCTCCTTGAGAGGATCCAGCCAGGGGTTCGCCGCTTCCAGCAGCCAGGCCTTTAGGGCCTTCTTCAGCTGCTCGGTGCCTTCTGTGCCTTCTCTGTCCGTGGAGTTGGGGAGTAGCAAAGCACCAGCCCGAAGCTGTGGAAGCCGGCTCTGTCTGTCCGGGGCATCTCGGGGCGGCGTGCAGTCTTCTGGACAGGCTCTGGGAAGTCCTCCTGAAGCCGAAGCAGGCGATCCTGAGCTCGCTATGGTTACGCGTGTAGTAGACCTTCATCCGGGTCCATAGCAGGAGCGGAGGGGGGATAGGTTTTGTGCTTAGGATGCAATCAGGAACCCCTTGACTGCAACGCTTCGTGCAGCCAAGCTACGCACACGCTGCCCCTGTAGCGGGCGAGACAGCAGACAAGGAAATCCAAGGCTCATCAGTACGATTTGCAAAACCATAGGTGCTTGGCCTGCTTGCGGGTCCGGCAGTCGCAGCCCTGCAACCTCTCGCTGAAGTTACAGTAAAGGCAGATGTGAACGAGCAGGTCCGAGCACTAGGTTGCGGGCTCTGCATCCACCTCCTCGGGGCATCAAAAACTTGCGGTAAACTGATGGTATTGCAGCACCCAGCGGCTGCTTCCAGAGTCAGATCCTCACACCTAGCTGATAAAAGTGCCTCTCCGGAGCAGGAAGGGGTCTGAAACCCTATCTAATTACAAAGTGCGGCCACCACATGCTTATCCCCTTCACCGTAGTCACTTGGTTTCTCCATCCCCGGTCCTCGTCTTCGTTCTGCGGTCGGGGCTGGAGGAACCCTCCCGAAACCCTCCTGGCAATAAGAGCTTGAAAAGGGCTAAGGGTTATGGCGTGTAGGTCTAGGAGTCTAGGGTTAAAACAGATACAGGGGTTGGGTATTGGATAGAGAGGGTACAGAAAGAGCTTTGGGTATAGAGCCTCGGGAGTGGGCTCAGGCTTTGGGGTTTTGGGGTTTAGGGTTTATAGGGTTTCGGATTCAGGGAGTAGACGACGCACACCCGCCCCGGTCCTGGTGCTAGCATCGGCCGGCGAGGAGGAGCCTCGACGAAATGCTTGGCTCTTTGCGCGCGTCAAAAGAAGCCCAGGAGAAACGCAAGAGAACCACGAGTTCAGGACTCTGTCAGGGGTGTTTTTGGGAGGGTTTGTTTTTGAGGTTCACAGAAGGTGTATAGGGTGCTCACGCGTTCTAGGGTTTGCTGCTTAGGGCGCGTTCAGGGGCCTTTCATGCGCTTGAGGTAGAACCAGTGGCAGCTGCAGCAGTCCAGCAATCCTGGCCCAAAATCTAAACAGCACACGGATCCATACCCAGAAATCCTAACAGCCTAGACCACGCAAAACAAAAGATACATACATGCACACCAAAAAAACGTATACCGTATGTATGTATGCATGCATGCATGCATGTATATGTATATATGGCCACACATGCAAACTAGACCTTCAAAAAAAACGCTGATACGATGCCTCGAGTCGGCTGGGCTCCCGGCCGGCACCTGCAACCACGAAGGCCTCAGAGGGACTGAACTCGGTTTGTACCAAAGGCAAAAAGGTGGCGTCGTAACTCTGTGGTAGGACCGGTGCTTCTACGATTATGGGTGTATGGTTTAGGTGGTTCAGAGGTGGTAACCATGCAGATGTATGATCCAGTGCAAGGAACGAAGGTGCTCTGGTTGGCCTGGGCCCTCACCGCGAAGCTGACAAGCACGGAATAGGGCACAAGTAGACACCTCGCAGCCGGTGCTGGCGCTGCTTGCTGGAGCTGCCGATTTGAATCCCGCCTCTGCATCGCCAAGCCGATGCTTGGCCTCTACAGGGGCCTGATGGGGCCAGCGACTGGCTCATCGCGCGCTGCTACCCGGGACACGGAGTGAACTCCCCCTCCGAGCTGCGCACTAAACACATCCTTGGTGCTTTCAGCTCTTGAGATCAAAGCCATAGCAAAAAGATGATGGACTCGGCTCGGACTCCGTGCCCTTTTCTTCTAAGGCCATGCAAATTGCGATCTCTTCCCCTCGGGGGAAGTCTTGCGAAGATGTCCCTTGCGGGAGCTCGAGATGATAAACTGCGTCCATGCTCCAAACCACAGCACTGACTCGGGCTGTCATAAGCCTAAACTAGCAACCTCAAAGACCCTTCTTACACCCTGGCGACCTCGGCTGCGAATCTCTTCGAGATTGCGCAGCACTCACATCATGGCCTCGCAACGGCAGCACCCCCTCGCCAACTAGCTCCTATGCATCTGCAGTTGGCGTGGGCACTCAGAGAGACCGGGCTGCACGGAGCTGATTCTGGTGAGACATGGCGCCGAGTCTCGTGCAGGCGTCGCTCCTGTCCAGATTCTTCTTTATGGACGATTTGGCGCCTCTTGGAATGATAGGGGGTACTGCGCCTGGTTTGGGGGTTCCTTCATCTGAATCCCATTAACAGGGGCTCTGTGACTTGGGTCGCTTTACTACGTCGTTCCGTCATGTCCCTGCGCGCTGTCAGTCTCAAGTTGAGCATGATGCTGGAAGTCTCGTGGTCTTCAAGAGGCTCGGTGCGCATGTTTGAAAGCACACAAACCACTAGGAGTATTTCTCGTGACTAGTTCTGGTAGTTTATGGTAGCACATCACGGCGGTCTCAGTCCTCTCAGAAGGCCATTTCGACTGCCCGGTCGCTGCCGTACACCAACTTCAGATCCTGCAGCACGCGGATCCTCGAACTTCACAGTGACACTGTCAGAACTCTGCAGAGATGTCCTCGGCACTCTGAAGAGTGCCCGGTGGAAGGAAATTTCTGAGCTCTCTTGCATGTTCCTCACGATGTCGCGACTTCTCAGCATTGCACGCAGATGTGCATTTCAGGCAACAGGCCTCGATGATCCGTTTGCGCTCTGCTTGGATCACCGCCTGTCACTGAGGTCTTAAAACTCAGCCCAGCCATGTCGTACCTCTCCCGCTGCCTCCCGCTGATGCTCATCCTTCTTCAAAGCCTCCATCTCCTCACGCTCCTGCAGGAAGTGCGGAGGAATTCCCTGGGGAGTGTCGCAGAATCGGAATCCCGGATATGAACACCCCACCGTAACAACAGGAATAGCAATAATGAAGATAGTTCAAACACGAGTGATGGCAAAAGGTGTCATAGTCATGAGTCATAGTCATGGTCATAGTCATAGCCATCGTCTAAGGCGTGGTCACGATCAACGTCGCAGCAACACCAAGACTCATTGCAAAAGAGAGAGCGAGAGAGAGAGAGAGAGAGAGAGAGAGAGAGAGCAACAGTAATAGCATCCGAAGACGAATGCAGACAGTAATCAAAATCGTGATGGTAATGGTAATGGTGTTGGAAGTGGTACTGGCACGAAGATGGTACAACAAATAATGGTGATGATATTTTGTACTGGCAGTACCACAAGGGATCGAAATAGAAAAAGGAAAGGTAGTCGCAATAGAGGTGGTAGAAAGGAAAACAACAGTAACCGATAATAGCATTCATAACCACAATAATACTAGCAACAGCGATTACAACATTAGACTCTTAAGCAACAGCAACAACAACAACAATAGAAATATCGATAGCATAGATTTGGTGATAGGAGATGCGACAGGGTCCCGAAGAGGAGCCCCCCCACCCCCACCCCCACCCCAAACAGAGGATCTCGAAACCCCAAACCCCAAACCCTAAACCCGAAACCCCTAAACCCCTAAACCCCTAAACCCTAAACCCTAATCCCTAAACCCGAAACCCTAAACCCTAATCGTCTGCTCTTCCGCCTGTTGCCGGGCCATCTCATAGGTCTCGCGCCGGATCTGCAGCAACCTCTCGGTCTCCCTCTTGTGCGCCTCCAGCTTCAAGCGCCTCCGGGAAAAGGGTTTAGGGCTTAGGGTGTAGGGCTTAAGGTTTAGGGCGTAGGGTTTAAGGTGTAAGGTTTCGGGTGCCAAAGGGCTTTTTTGGAGTTCACGGCGCTTGGGTTTCGTGAGTTTGGGGTTCTTTGCGGCTTTTGGGGCTTAGGACCCTCACAGGGTTTACGGCCTAAGGGCTTTCCGGCCTATGGCCGTTTTGGGGCTTCAGAGTTTAGGGCTGAAGAAGGCCAGATCAGTGGCCTCTTGTGATCGTTGAGCTGCTCGAGCCTGTCGTCCTCCACAGTGCACACTACAAGGGCTATATTCCGGGTACTATGAGAATATGATAGAGGCTACCTTACGGTTTCTATAAGGGTAGTATAAAGGTAACATCACTATCAATAAGGGTCACTCTAACGGCATTCTCACATAAACCCTGGATCCAGCGAAAGCATCTTTCAACTGTCCTCTGCAAACTTCTGCATCATCTCTGCTCGGAGCTTCTCCTGAGGGCAGATCCAACCGAACAAACACTGCCACAGTAAAAGAAAGACACTGGAAATCCCTCTTAAAAATACCGCAAACCCTAAACCCTGAACCCTTAACCCCAGTTTACACACCCTCGAAGAGAGTCCGAACCCTAGAACTCTTCGAAGGCTCTGCAGCAACCCACGCCCAGCCTCCTGCGCGCGAGCCTGTGCCAGCTTCTCATCCTTGGCCCTGAAGAAAATCCAACTCACTCTCTTCATTAAATACAGGGGGATGGCATGCGGTGAGAGAATGAATATGAATACATATACATATATATATATGTACGCATCTATCTATATATATATATATTCTTTTTTACATACATACATACATACATACATACATACATGCATACATACATACATATTTGATAACATGACATGAGATGACATGACATGGGATGACATGTGACGTGATATGACAAGATATCGTGCGAGTATAAGACATAGCTGTAAGCCATGTCTTGTGTATCAAATGCTGCTGGGTTCAGTTCTGGGCCAGCCTCTGTTGCACCTCGCAGGCCATCTTGAGCTCCTCCCTATCCTCCAAGATCTTCCGCGCACGCTGCTCCTTCCCAAGGGTTTAAGATTTCGGGTTACGGCTTTGGGGATGTTGGGGCTTTCGGGCTTTAGTCAATGTCCAAAGTCTTTCGGGCTTGGGTTTGCGGCTTTGGGCTTAGGGCTCCGGTCCTTTCAGGAACGCTTGAACAGCCTCGCCTTCATCATGAGAGACGCCTAACCCTAAACCCTAAGGAGGGAGCGCTACAACTTAACACCAACACCCTAACCCCTGAATCCTAAACCTTCGACCTCCACACCTAAACCCTCACACTCTCCAATACCCAAGCATTCCTCTGGCCTCCAAAGAGGCTCTGTTCCTTTATGGTTTTATACTGCTTGTGCTTCTGTAAAGGTACTGTGGACATATATACATACATACAGGGCGGGGCTTCTTTTCACGCACCGCAAAGGCTCCTCATGCTCACTTTCCCGCTGTTTTTTTGATTCTCTCGCGCCCTGTTTGGATGAAGGAACGAAAGAATCTTTAAGGGGGCAAAAAACCAACTTAACCGGTCGTACAGGGTTTTTTTTCTCATGCCCTGGGTTTGGGGGTCTAATACCGACGGACCCAAAGAAAAAAGAGACATAAGACAGGCTGCAGAGGGGCCACTGAAAGCCCTGTCCGCTGAGGGGAAGGTTTTTTTTGGTCATGGATACGTGGCAGGGTAGAAGAAAAACCCGTGCGCGGGAGAGAAGGCTTTTTTGACCCTGTCCACGTTGATGGAGGTACAAATAAGCCCCTGGACAGCGCGGAGGGCTTTCTTCGGATTCTGTCCATGCGTGCTTGAGCACCGGGCCTACCCACGGCAGAGAAAGAGCCTTTCCGACAGCACCCAAAGAAGAACCTACGGGGACCAAAAAAAACAGCCCCATACATACATGCACAGGTACATACACACACAGAGACAAATCACGTGTATATGTCGCTGTGTACATGGTTAGATGATCATAGATGCTCTTACATCCCTAAACCCTAAACCCTTGGTATCTGCTTATAAAACCGAACATATGGTTTTGTTATCTACTCTCCCAGGAAGCCGCTCCTCCTGGCGCCGGCTCTTGGCTTCGAGCTCCTCGAAGTGAAGCTCGTTGCAGAGATACTCGAGCCTCAATCTACAGCAACGAGGGTGTAGGGCTTAACGTAATCGTAACACAAAAGTGATCATGTTTCTGATAATAACCATCACCTGCAGATACAGTAGCGGTTGCAATAATGACGATATGCGACATGAACGTAACATAAATAGCAATGGTGTCAACTGGCTGCTCGTGTTCTGTCATCTACTGTTTCATACTGTTTGACTACACCCACACATGACGGGCAGCCTAAGGCTAAGGGCGGCCCGACAGATGCAGTCACGCAAGCTCACAGATGTCTGTCTGCTTCGTCGGCTTGGGAGCAAGAACACATGAGAGGAGGCAAGCGAGCCAGAGAGATAGAGACACGTGGGACTCCTGGGAATAGTCGAAAGAACAAGACAAAACAGAGAGGGAGATAGAGAGAGAGAAGAGAAAAACATAAAAATAAAATAAAACCAAAACAGAAGCGGGAGATGGGAACGGAGAGGGGGTTAGTCACCTCTCCGAGGCTTTGGCATCTCCTTCTCTTTGCTCTTGGCCTGCATTCTCCATCGAGGCAACCAAGCATGCGTTCCGAATAACGCAGCCTAAACCCCGCAAGCTAAAACCTCCAACCCCAAACGCTAATCGCCTCCATTTGCCCAACCATCTTGTTCATGAGTCGCTTCTTTTCCAACTCACGCTCTTCCTGCGGCTACGTGGCACGTGGTGTCGAACTAATGCGTCCATGTCAGTGATGCACTGGCACACGGCCCTGGCAGACAGTCCTTTTCTGCCGCGAGCTTCTCCTCTTGCTGACGCTTCATCCGTGCATAGGCCTCAATGCGCTCGTTCTCCTCCTGCTCCTCCCAGAAAGGATTCAGAAGGCAGAGCAATGTTAAACCCGGTAGCAGGAGGCCATGAGCATCATCGTGCATCACTGGTCCTCTGCAAGCTTTTGGATCTGTCTTTGCTGCTGCTCCACGAGGAAGTTCTGTAACCTCGGCTGGTGCTTGGGCTGCTCTGCCTCTCTCTCCTGGTACGTGGTCCGAGGTAGATGCAGCTGGCGTGATTCTGCCTGCTTCTCTTCCTTCGCCTACGGGGAGCCGGTGTGAAGGACTCTGGAGATCCGTTGCACCGTAAACCCGAAACATTGAGTTATACTCGGCAAGCTGACGTCTAGTGGGCCTTCCGCTCCCTTTCGTTCTCGTCGATGATCTGTGCGACCAAGTTGTCCACCTCTGCGCGCTCTCGCTGGTACTCCTCCAGGCGGACGAGCAATTTTTTAGTGTTAGGCTCGAGGGTTTTGGGATTTTGGGCTTCAGATTTTCCTTGCTTAGGGGCTCGGGACATCGCGGGGCTTAAAACAGGCGTTGGGGCTTTATGGAAAGACAAGGGATGATTTAATGAGAAAGGATCAGCAAAGACGGAAACCAAAACAAGGAACTGCAAGCCTGCGCGGGGCGAAAACCAGGTTAGCATTGCTCGCTTGGCTTCCATCGCCAAGTCTGGAGAACTCCCGAGCTACCTAAGCAAAGCTCGGCCATAAACCCTAAAAAATCCGAAAACCCTAAAGCCAAAGACAGCCCCCCCCCCCCCGGAACCGTGAGGCTCGAAGCCCTCCATTGTAAACGTTCCAGCTACGGACTCTTCGCACTCACTTTTGAAGGGAGCCTTCTGAGAGCTATGGACTGGCTCCGCCCTGGGCTCCTGCATCGCTTCGTCTCTCTGCGCTTCTTTCATCGCAATCCTGGGTATTGAGATACGGTACGACATATAACCTGCATATTACTTTAAGGGCCCTAAACTAGGGGAACTATGATCTATTTCTTGTTATGGGTAATGCAGGATGTATCTGGTAGGTTTATGAAGTTTAGGGCGTAAGCTGTGCCGTGCTGTGCCAGCCAGGATCTGCTGCTGATTGATGCTCTTCACTCGCTGCCGCTGCTTGTCCTGACGGCAGGGCTGCAGGAAGACTTCTCGGTTCAAAAACACAGCCAGCAAGTCCTTCTCAATGACCAGCTTGTGCTCTAGCTCTGCCTGCTCCAGCCTTGCAAGGATGCCTAAACCCTGAACCCTAAAAGCAGCCGGAGTCGATTTCGCAAGCAGATCCAGGCCAGGCGACACGTGGTTTGCCATGTTCTCTGCAAACTTGTGCTCCACGAGTCGATCCCGCTCCTTGCGCACCTGCTCTCTTGACTTAGGGGTTAGGGTTTAAGGTTTAGGGTTTAGGTTAGGCCCTAAAAGGGCCTTCGAGTTTCGAAAACTTCACAGGTTTAAGCCTTAAGCCAGGGGCCCCGCACCTGTATTTCGAGGAGCTGGTGGGCGCGCTCCTTGTTGACCTTCCAAAACAGCCCGAGGCAGATCCACACCCCACCCCTAAACTCCTAAACCCATGAACCCCTAAAACCCTAAACGCCTAAACCCCTAAACCCTAAACCCTAAACCCCAAACCCTCCCATTTTTTGCCGCCTTGGCCATGTGGAGGCGCTCCTTCAGCTGCCGCAGCTCCTCGGAGCCGTCGCAGATCCGCCGTCGGTCCATGGCCTCCCGAATTCCCGAGCTCTTAGGCTTAAGGTTTAGGGTTTAGGGGGTTTTTTTTTGAGGGCCTTTTTCCACCATCCTGCGGAGAGCCCCAGTTTAGGGTTTAGGGTTTAGAGGCTGCGAAGACCGAACTATCACATGTCCCCTGCAGGGACCGTGCCCCAAGCGGAAGAAGGGCTTTCAGCGCGACTCCCGGCCGACATCCCGCCGAGCACGTGCGCACATCAGAGAACAGATTCGAATCTTTCATCGTTCACGGCCCACTGATGCCCAGCAGAGTCATTCTACTGTAGCCGCCTGTCCGACACGAAACATGTACGACAAGTGCCGATCGCACTTTACATTCGAAGTGAGGGGCGTGTAGTGCAGGGATGTACCCGCTGAAACAACAACATGCAAGCACACAGCCGGCAGCACCTCCCGCTGCTCCACTGCTTTTCGCCTGGGATTTGGAGCATACAACATGGCCCTCAGTCTATGCATCTATGGCCCTGGCTTTGACAGCTCATCTGCGATTCGGTCTTCGAACTGGCTGATCTGGAAGAGTTTTGCCTTCTCCTGCAGGGGAAGTTGTGCAGCTTCCTGACATGCATCGAAGGCCGAGACACTTCAGCTCTGATGCGACCCGGCTCCTGCATTTGCCTGGCAAGGAGTCAGAGGATCAACATGGGAGATTCAAACAATAAGGAACCCCCTACTAAAGGACCCTAAAAGGGTGTAGACACTAGGCCGCCTCAATGAGAGACCCCAATCTCGAATAGAACACCCTCAGTGAGGGACTCCCAGTGTTTCTGAAGGCCCTCCCTATTATATCAGGCCCTAAACCCTAAACCCTAAACCCTGCATCAAACCCTATACTATTCCAAGCCTCTCGGATCAAACCCCTAAGCTCGCCAAAAAAAGGAACCCTGAACCCCCTAAACCATCCGCCGCGCCCTCAACTCTACACAATCCCTGAAAAAAAACCAAAGAGCGTAATCGCGGTTGCGGCACCGGGTGATCTCGTAGTCCATGTACCTAGCTCATGCTTGGGATGGCAATTAACACCTAAATTTCTATTCCTTCTTAGTTTAAGTACCCATGACAATGCAAAATCTTACCCAACTATGACAATCTCCTTCCCCCGGATGTATTTTTCAAAAAGCCAAACAAAAACAAAACACAAAAACAGAATTCCCAAGAGCAGTAAAGGTACAGCTCCCGGCGCTCGGCGGCTTCCGAGCGAGCCCTTCGGAGGCCCTCGGCACGGGCCTTGCGAAAGCCGGGGAGGGGTTTCGGGGCTTCGCCTGGGTTTAGGGTTTATTGGGGTTTAGGGTTCAGGGTTTCGGGTTTATAGGGGTTTAGGGTTTTTTTAAGGGGTTTTGGGGGCTTTTTAGGAGTTTTGGTGGCTTTTAGGGGTTTAGGGGTTTGGGGTTTAGGGCTAGCTGTTTGTTCTGAAAGAGCGTTAGAGGGTTCTTTAGGTTTGTTTGAGTTGGAAGGACTCTGGGTTTCGGGCTTCCCAAAGGTTCTTTCGGCTTTTCACTTTTGGGCTTGGGGGTTTCGGGCGTTTTTTGTTGAGGGTGCAGAGTTGCTTCCAATTGGGGTGTAGGGTTTAGGGGACAGCATTGCAGCTCTGTGAGAAGCCGGAAGCACAGGAAATAGAGCCGTTCTGCACGGTTTCGCCCAAGGCCAAGTCATTCCGCAGTCGTGGAAAGTGGGGGTCATGGGAATTGGGGTAATGCCGGGAAGAGCTTGCTGTAGCTTAGGCTTGGGGTTTGGGGTACAGGGTTTAAGATGTGCAGAAGGGGGTGGGGGTCGACAAGCATCGGGCAAACCGCCCCAATTCATTCGACAAGTCGAATCACCCTAAACCCCTAAACCCTAAACCCTAAGCCCTAAACCTAAACCCCTAAACCCTAAACCCCTAAACCCCTAAACCACCCCTAAACCCCCAAACCCCTAAACCCTAAACCCCGAAAAACCCTCCCAGCCTCGCCAGTAGCCTGGCCATGGAGGATCTGTGACTGCGCCAGCCGTCTGCGGAGGCCAATCGCTTTGGCCTACGGCTGCGGCTGTGTTCCAGGGCCCCACCTAGGTTTTACCATGGTTTCGGGTGTAGGGTTTATGTGTTCCAGGGCCCCGCCTAGGTTTTACCACGTGTCGGGTTTAGGGTTTAGGGTTTAGGGGCTTACTTAGGCCGGCTATCACGGTATTTACTGCATGACTGCTATGCTGAGCCTCCTACGGCACAGTATATATTTTTTCTATAGGCTTAGGGTGGGGAGCCGGAGTGGCGGTATGCAGCTCTCAAGCCATCCCCCATGTCTTAACCTATGGAGGGCATGGAGACCGAAAGTGTCAATTCCGAGCGGCTCTAACAACTATCCCTGGACTGGGGCCCAGAGCCTTGTCTCTCCCTTACTGTGCAATCTTGACCTTCGACACTCCAGGACCGACACTCCAACGGCAGATCGTGAACAGTTAGAGAAACCAGCCCGAGCGTCTGTTTCTTTCATGTTGTGGGTGCAACATACAAGGCGTGGAGCTGGAACCCGGAACTTGAAGTGCATTTATACACGCGGCCCCTATGGTCTTCTATATACAAGGATGCGGGATCTCAAGCCCTAGCAACGTCAAGTCAAGGACTCCAAAGAGAGCGCGACCAAGCTCTTCTTTCTCGGGAGCGCGGCAGGGCCGAGAGTTACCAAATTTGATGCAATACTGTATAGTGTATTGTGATACATCAATGAAAGTAGACGATAGTAGGATACGTAGAATAGCAATGTATAGTTTCGCAGTCACAAGTTTTGCGGGCATGGTGCCAGCCACACGTTGCGACTTGTGGCTGAAGGCTTAAAGCAGCGCAACTCCACACTGCAGCGGACTTTTAGGCTCG